GGTTGCAGCCATCATTGTTGTTTGGTGGGCCCAGGCTGGATTCAAACCCACCACCTTAGGTGTATGTGGCTGGCGCCTTAGGCACTTGAGCCACAGGCGCCGAGCCAGCTTCTGACTTTTTAATTGAAGAAATCTATGAACAAATTTGACCTGTCTATTGTTAGAACTAAAAAACTACATGATTTCTCTTAGAAAACATCTTTTCCGAAGAAAACGTTTGTTTTCTGGATTAAAATTTTACAAAATGAAGTTTTAGGAGGAATGAGACCATAAAATATAAACAAAATTTGCTTTTTTTTGCAGTTTTTGGCCAGGGCTGGGTTTGAACCTGCCACCTCTGGCATATCAGTGCAGCGCCCTACCCTTTTGAGTCACAGGTGCCACCCGCAAAAGTTGCTTTTTAAATAAAACCTATCATGTAAGTTAAAATAGGTTGAAGTACTTTGTAGGATTATAAAGTTGAATTCTTTTGGTTTTATTGCTTAATTTTTCATTTATAAAGAATAAATTGGGCTAGGTGCAGTGTGGCTCACGCTTGTAATCCTAGCACTCTGAGAGGCCGAGGTGGGTGGATTGCCTGACCTCTGGAGTTGGAGACCAGCTTGAGCAAAAGTGAGACCCTGTCTCTAAAAAATAGCCAGGCGTTGTGGTGGGCATCTGTAGTCCCAGCTACTTGGGAGACTAAGGCAAGACAATTGCTTGAACCCAAAAGTTCGAGGTTACTATAAGCTGTGATGCCATGGCACTCTATCAAGGGGGGTCAAACAGAGACTCTGTCTCAAAAAAAAAAAAAAAAAAAAAAAGAGCAAATTGGTTAGAATAATTTGACTACCTTCATTAATATTTTGGTTTACTGACCACTGGTTAAAATGGGACCTTGTGGCTGGGCATGGTGGCTCACACTTGTAATCCCAGCACTTTGGAAAGCTGAGGCAAGAGGATTGCTTGAGCCCAGAAGTTTGAGACCAATCTGGGCAGCATAGCAAGACCCTATTTCTAAAAAAAAATTACCCAGCTGTGGTGGTATACTCCTGTAGTCCTAGCTTCTTGGTAGGCTGAGGCAGGAAGATTATGTGAGCCCAGGACTTTGAGGCTGCAGTTGAGATCCTGTCTCAACTCCCCCCCCCCCAAAAAAAAAAACACTGGAAATTTTACCCTTGGATGAGACAAAACAAGATGTCTTTTCTAGTTTGCTTGTTGATGCTTCTTTGCCTTTCACTTTTTTTTAGAAGACAGTTACCTGGGCTAGAGTGCCATGCCTCAGCCTAGATCACCAACCTCATACTCTTGGGCTCACACAGCAACCTTGTACTCCTGGGCTCAAGCAATCCTCCTGTCTCAGCTACCACACCTGGATAATTCTTCTAGATACAGGGTCTTACTTTGCTCAGGCTGATCTCAAACTTATGAGCTTAAGCAGTCCTCCCCCTCAGTCTCCCAGAATGTTAGGATAACAGGTATGAGCCATCACCCTAGGCCTGCCTTTTATTAAAAAAACAAAACAAAACAAAACTTGTCCTTTTCATAATTACTGAGCTTAATGTGTGTGTGGGGGGGGGGGTGTAACATTGATTTAGAGTTACTTTAAAGGGACAGAATCCTTAAAACCTTAAGGTTGTTTCCTAAAAAATGCAATATTTTAAAAGTAATTTAATCTCTTTCTTATATACATAAGCAAACCCAACTAAGTTAGTAATGTTTAGAAAATACATTTTCACCTTAAGGGTAAAAATGCTTTTACTGTTTTCAGTTAGAAGCTGCTATCTAGTCCCTTAACTTATGAAAAAAAATTTACATTTTTATTAAAAGTTTTTTTAAAACATGAAATTGACTAGACAGTTAATATATACCATTTCATGAATGTTTAAAATATCTCATTGTTATTTTTAGAAAGAGGGAAATGGGCTGAAAAATGTACAAGTCCTCACCAACATGAAGATCTTATACTGACTTTTTATGATGTCAGCTATCACTTGAACATACTTTTTTTTTTTTAAATAAAGATGTAACTGGAATTTAGGTTGTAATCTGTAAGTAAACCTTGGATCTATGAGTTGTTAGCAATTCAGTTAATTGCACTTTACTAGAAGTGAGTCATTTTATTTTATGTTTCCTGATTTAAAATTTTTTTTTTTTTTTACTTAGAGCTTAATGACTTGTACACAAAGTAGTGTATAGAACAAGCACATAGGCAGAGTTGGCAGGGAGGCAGGGATGAATGAGAGAATAAAGGGAAGAGACTTAAGACTTAAAAAGAAAA